AGCATAGTATTATGTAAATTCTCAGAGATCATGTGTATTGACATAAAAATAAAATCCCTGCATCAGTCATCCAGATGTAGTCACTGTAATTTGAATATCAAAATAACTTAACATCATCATCCATTTGAAAGTATGTGAAAAATATTTCTTTGACATTTTTACAACTTCTCATCATTGAATTTATATCCCCAGTGTACTTTCAAAACTTTTTCTTACTGTATTGAATTTAAATTTTAAAGTGTATTATTGATCACCTTTATGGTACCTATCATTGATATTTTGGCATTTTACTTCATATATCTTTATTTTACATTAAGGTTCCAAGTGTCACAAACAAACAAATAAACCCAAGTTTTTCCTGGTTGATTGATACCATAGTTATCTCCATTACAATTAGTAAACATGAAACAAATTTTGATAACTACAAATCTTACAAACCAACATTTTATTGTAAACATGTTTTGATGGAATGTTATATTAAAAAGTACAAATGTTGAAAGTGGAATTAGTTCAGCTGCTAGCAATTAATCTTATAATTTTAAGAATTAGATATTATATTTCTAGTATAAATATTTCAAAAATATTTTGACAAAAACCCTTTAGTTGCTCTTTTAAAAGGTGCACACCAAATCTGTGAAAAATCTAAAAACCAGGCCAGCTACATTCAGAATAATCTGCATCATTTAGAGTCTTTGGCTCTTCTGTGAGATTTTTTCTTTCTAGTTAATGTCACAGTCTAAAGATGAATATGAAAAATGACTGAAGGGAACTGCTTTCATTTATGCGTGTACTTATTAAAACAGCCATTTTTAAGATTTGATATGTCCCACCAATCTTCTTTTTGTTCTGATACAAGACCAATACACTAATCCAGAATAAAATAGATAGAAAAGATAAAATAACTGGAAATGTCCACAACTTCCCCCGCCCAATCACATATCCTTCCATCTGAATTTAGAAAATCCCACAGTGGAGAAAATACACTATTTCTAATGCCCCTCTCAACACAAATATGCAAAAACCTATAGATCTAGTCATGATGGACTGATGGCTTTATCTTTCTTGGGTGGAGGCTTCTCATTTTCTTGATTTCCCACCTACACCCCAGGTTTTTGGAGGACAGAATGTCTGCGATGTGTGATAAGCATAGCTTCCCTCTGGAGGTTACATGAATGCAAAACAAAACAAAACAAAAACATGCATTCCTGAGAAAGAAGACAAATGAAAAATGAAGATCTAGAAATAGATTTACTTCAAACGCTATGTGCTTGCATGTCTCCTGGGAACCTGAGAAATGCAGTGCATCCAAAGTGGTTCAAAGCTCCCCAGCTCAAGTCACCTGAAAGAGCCAATGCAGCCGAGGTAGTTCGGAGCACATTGTCCAAAGTGAGCAAGAACTGAAGGAGATTCCATTATGAGGGCGGGAACAAATGCATGCCAAGCAAATCCATGTAAAATACTGTGAATTCCTGACTTTTCAGGAAGGAGCAAATGTCCAAGTGCCGTTCTGTGAGAACAGGAACATTTTTCTTCCATATTTGGTAAATATAGCAGCACAATTAATCTGCATTGGCTCTCTTCCCCTAGCAGGTATATGTTCACACATGCTTGTGGCTATGGACAACTGAGATACATATTCTGGCTGGCACCCATTCAGGCCACATCCAAAACTGTATTGTACACTTAAGGCCCTTAGATGTCTTAGGGAATGGAATCTAAGGACAAAATGATGCCTGGGATTTCTGCCCTCGGCACTGAGATTGGCCCACTTCAATCTTCTTGGAGAGGAGTGTTGTAGTAAGATAACACTGTCTGAGATACTAACTTTCTGGGCACTTCAGTTATGTTTAGGATGGTACAGCACAAGTAGATGTTTCCCAAAACCCCGACTCTATCACTGCAGAGAAAACCTAGACTGTAGCCTTGGAGGAAACCAGACTCTGCCCATACTGATTGACATTGATTGTCAACTTGGCAGGTTCTAGAATCACCCAGGAGACACCCTGGGCATGCTTGTGGTTTCTAGACTTAGTCAACTAATTTAGGAAAACCCATCTTAAATGTGAACATTACCATTGTAAGGGCTTGGACCCCAAAATGAATAAAGATGGCACCTATCTCTCTGCTTCCTGGCTGTAGATGAGGTGCAACCTCACTCATGTCAGGATGGACCAACCTGCAAACCTAAAGCCAAAACAGCTTCTTCCCTGAAGTTGCTCTTCACAGGAATTTTTTCACAGCAAGAGTAATGAATATACTCCCTGCAAACAAACTGGAAGAAAACCCTCCTGTATGGGACAAACAGTGGAAGTGAAGTTTGTTGTCCATTTGCTTTTTCTCCTAGGGAGAAATGTCTGGAAACTGCTATATCTTCTCTGGCTAGTGCACTTGGGTTATCTCTGGGTTGCTATTTAATCTCACTGCAGCCCAATTTTACCTGGGACAACATGGCTGAGCAAAATCTGAGAGTGGTAAGCAGAATCAGAAGCAAACTTCAGAACCTAGTGTCAGGGGATCTGCACATGCTCTCATGACTATGACATTATGAATTGCTTCTGAACCTCCTAGAAGCAAACCGATTGCCAGCTATGATCCCAAAAGGACCTACTAAGGAGCAGTGGTTGTTATTCAGGACAATGGCTTCAGGAAGGTGAAGGATGACCCATAGACAGTTGGCTTCTCTCTGCTCCTTCTGCCACCACATCGTCCTTACCAAGTAGTCAAAATGATATCAGTATGCAATTATGAAATTACGGTACCCCTGTTATAAAAGTTACTGTTTTCTTTTAAGGCAGAGCATATCTCTAGTCAATAATATTCAATCTAGAGAGCATCGCCAACTATCATGTGTTAATTCATTCACTCAGATCCAAAACATTGTAAGAGCAAGGAAAACAAGTCTACTACCTCCACCCCATAATGCCCACATTCATAGAATTACAGCGTATTGAAAGAAGAGGAACTTATAAGACATTCAGCCCAACTTCCATCTGTTGCCTCAGTTCTCTGGTCATTGTCAGCCTACCTTATCGATGTAACTTTCCTAAGGCAGCCCCTCACATTGCTGGAAAGCCCCCACTACTCCATATGGGGTTTCCTGGGGTTAAATCCAATAACCCTTGTACACCTCCCTCTCTGGCTTCAAACCACTTTGTAGGATTTGAATGTCCATTTCTAGATTAAGCATCTCCTGCCTCATCAAGTATTATTCAAAACCTCCTCCATCTTCAGCATCTCCCTTTGTTCTTGGAGCTTCCCCTGAGTGAATGTGACGATTGTCATTATCAACTTGACAAGATTTGGAATCACCCAGGAGGTACACCTCTAAGCATACCTGTGAGAATGTTTTCAGAAAGGTTTAACAAGGATTGTGGGTGAAAATCCAGTGGGCTGGGAACCCAGGATGAATAAAAAGGGGGAAGGAAGGAGTCATCTGAGCATCAGCATTGTCTGCAGTCTATTCCCCTCTTCTCAGATGGGAGGTGTCCAAGCAGCATGTTCCCACCCCTGTGAATTCTGCCATGCCTTCCTCTTAAACCATGGGCCAAAATAAGTCCTTATCCCCTTGAGATGCTTTTTGCCAGGCATTTTGCCAACACAGCTATTGGCAATAACTAATATAGGTCCAGAACTGGACTTAATTATATTCCAGGATGAGTCAGGGACAAGATAGAGTAACATTATTATCACCCTTATTGCTTACATTGCTTCACTGCTTATTTACATGTGATGTTAGAGAGACGATTCCCTCCATCATGTACTAGATTCTCTTGCCAACATGGGCAGTCATGTTTAATGATTCAGTTTGGGGCATGAACCCTAAAGTGAACACCCTGGATCCTCCACATCATTGCTAAAATTGGTTCACTAAGAGTGCCTACCCCAGAGCTCCACTGTGCCAGGGCCCCAGAGCACCTCAGCCTTGAGATCCTCCATCTATTTCAGATCTAAGGACAGGGAGGGTTTCTTTGAGGACCTTCCTGTGGCTGAGAGGGTGAGAGAACCTAGGGCCACCCGCACTAGCACAGGTGTAGGAACATGGCCCAAGGTAGGACTAGCAGAGAATCAGGCCAGAAGAGCCCAAACCTGTGCAAAACAGGACATACACAGGAAAGGAAGAGAGGGTTCTCTGAGCTCATCAGAGAGTCTGATTTTGGAGAAAATCGGACGTTTATTATTTATGGGAAGCTTTTATTTGGTGGTGGGAAAGAATGGTAAGTATGTGGCACAGTATTCCTGAACTATAAATAACACATAAGTAGCTTTCCTAATGAAAACCTTACGGAGCCTGCTGTGTTGGGAGGGCTTCTAGAATACCAAAGCAGGGAGGGGGAAATGACAACTATTTAATCCACAGACCTTCCACCTGCCTTTCACCTCTTCTTACTTCAATTCTTTAGGAAGTTTCATCTCACAGATGAAGTAGAGAGCAAGGAAGTTAAGGGACCCGACATACACTCTGATGTGAAGAGGGTTGGTGCTGATATGTCTTCCAGACTACAGAGTACACCACACCCTTTCTCTGGAATCAAGCATGAGACTGCCTAGGAGCAGCAGATGACCTTTCTACAGTCTTCTCTGTGGCCAAGGCTTCAAAAAATGGCCTGTCTCCTGTAGGTGGCTGTAGGTAGTTCTTCAAGATAAGAAGGGCCAAAGGGCCCCTGTATGCCGTGGATAACAGCTCAACAGGAAAGAGTCCAGGCACTGGGATCAGCACCAAAGATACACCAGGCACTGACACCACCTCGTGTGACTTTGGCTAAATCCTTCTTCTCTGAACTCTAGTTCTCACATCTGGAAACTATAGAGTTGGGTTAGATGTCCTGGAAACCCCAGCTGAGTCCTGACAGCCTCCACACAGATGCTGGCATGAACATTGGTTGTCTGGAGAGGATGTTTCCCGAGGAAGGTTATTTTGCATTTTCTTAGCCTGGCGGAGTCACTCAGTGCTCCCTCTCTGGTGACCCCACACTGTCCTCTGTCCCCCCTTCCACACTGACCTGCACTTCCCGTGTCAGAGCCAGCTCCAGTAGCTGGCCAAAGTGCTGGCCCAGCATGCTCAGGGTCTCACTCACGCAGGCCTTCATTGACTTCAGAACATGCTCATTTTCCACCTGGAGGCACCTAGGAGGAAGAACCAACCACAGAGTGGGCTGCCAGAAGGGGTACTTGGTTGGACCACAGCTGTGGCTAGGGCAAACCTGGACTTACTCGAGGCATGGTGTGTGGAAAGAATGGAGGGAAGACATAATCCCAAGAGAATCAGAGATGAAATCTGCCAGCTTGGTTTGTTTCCCTGGTCTTTTGCTATAGATAGAAGGGCTGGAGTCATCACATTCCCTGATATTGGGAAGTGCTATCACTAGAAAGTGGAAACTTCTCTGAGATAGCAGGCTATCAATATGGCCAACTGTCTGGTCTCTGAGGTGCCTGAGGTAGAGGGGCAGTAGCTTTGGAGAAGGTAGTTAGAGCACGAGGCACCACTAATTAAACTAATTAGCTCTCACTATAGCTTGTAAGAATTTCTGCCCATGCATAAACAAGATAGAAACAATAGCAATACCAACAGACATGTTAACATAGAAGGGGGAAGTTTGAAGGATGCCACCTCTAGACAAGGAACTACAGGCATCAAATGACTATTGGAGAACTGGCCTCAACCAGGGGTAAGCTTATTGGTTGTTCAATTCATAGTGGTCAGCTTTGAAACCACATACACACCACTAACAAAAATGGGCTCAGAAAGTTGTATTCATATGTGTGTGTGTGTATGCGTGCATGTGCATGCACGCATGCACACGCACGCACAGACATGTACATACATGAATGTATACATGTGTATATGTATCAAAATAAAAGATACTATTAAGTTGAGAGTGGGGGTCATGAGAGGCATTGAGGGAGGAGAGGAATGAAGAAAACAAAATGGTTCTATCTCAGTTTAAAATTTATTTTTAACAAGAAAAACAAAAGAATTGCTGCCACAATATGGAAAAGAAGGAGGAAGAGGTAGAGGAGGAAGAGGGGGAAAAGAAGAAGAAGGAATGAAGAAGAAGAAGAAGGAGGAGGAGGAGGAGGAGGAGGAGGAGGAGGAGGAGGAGAAGGAGAAGGAGAAGAAGAAGAAGAAGAAGAAGAAGAAGAAGAAGAAGAAGAAGAAGAAGAAGAAGAAGAAGAAGAAGAAGAAGCTGTCTCAAAGGTTTCCAGATAGGAAGAGTAGAGGGGAATAGATTGATGTCCACTCCATGGCCTGAGATGAGAATATCTGCTCATAAAAAGGGAAAGACTTTCTGGCTTCCCACAGAGGCCAAAATTCATGTTTGAGACATGAAGGGCAAAGTAACATGTCAACACACACTGAATGTGTCCATATAAAGGTGTGTGTATGTGTGTATGAATCTGAGTGTGAGCTCATGTATGTTTATGGTGTGATATAGGGGCAAGAGGCTGTGGGTAGATTTCTTTGATCTTATGAGTGGGTGTTTATGTATCTGTGGGTGAGTGAGTACGTGTCTGTGAACATCTCTGTCTCTGGGCATGTGTGTGGAGGTGTGAGTTCAACTTTCCCCTTAAATGGAATCTGCTTTCACTTTGTAGACCAAGGGGGCTCTCTTACCCTTAAGGAACCCTTTCCCCATTATCAGCTTACCCTAAACAACTTTCCACTGACACCCAAGGCTCTCTTCTAACTTTCCCTTTCCCTAGGCTCTGAATATGAGACAAAATTTTCTTGGGAATCTTTATCATTTTATTGTACTTTCTGGTTCTACTATGCAGCCCTTGCTGGCCTGGAATTCATTAGGTAAACCATACTGGACTAGTAGCAAACCTCTTGCTTCTGCAATTAGAGACATGTACCACTTCACTGACTTCAAAATAATCTTTTGAAAGTTCTGAGAATGCCCAGAAAAAGAAACTCCCACCAACCACCAGCTAGTACAACCTTCTGACATCCAATGAAGGTACTAGTCCCTCCCAGAGCCAGGAGGCCAGTTGTCCAAGCAGAGAGCCCAGGGTGCACTTACCTCTGGGTGACTGCTGAGAGCTCAGAACATTTCTCCATGAGCAGCTTCTCTGCCTGTGATCAGAAAAGACCAGTGTCAGTCCATTCAGGACCAGCTGCTGTGCTGGGCATGCTGGGACCTAAAAGTGAAGGGAGAAGCAGGCACAAAAACCAGAATTCACTGTGACCTGGGACATGAGTAGCCAAAGAGGCCAAGGTCAGATGCATTGAGAGAGTAAGAAAAGGAAGCATACAATTAGTTATACTATGAGATCTGGGAAGCCCTGGGAGGAAGGGGCATTTAAGTTGGGTTCAAAGAATGAACCGGCACTCAATGCCTGCACAGGGAAGGAAAGAGAAGTTTAAGGTGAAAGATCAAAAAAGAGGAGAGAGAGAAATCATGATGAGTGGGGGGGGTGGAGATTCAGTGGTTTACTTTTGACTGTGGGATGATTCCAATGCATTTTGGAATCAGAAAAGCTGGGTCTGAATCTCCTGCTTAATGCTGAGCAAGTAAGTCAGTCTCTGAGTGTCTATCCTCTCAAATAAAATGGGCTGTGTGACCCGCTTTGCATGTAATAATTCAGTCATCCTCATGGACTAAATACTGCTGTATTCACTGAGAAAAAGCAGCAGGATACAGAGGAGTAAGTGACTTGCCAAAGTCACATAATCCAGGCTGATAATTGAAGCCATGCAGCCTGTACTAGAGCTCTTTCTGCTTGCAATGGGCATACAGGTTAAATGACATGTTTGTGTAAAGGAAATACCTGTCTCAATGCCTTGCACAAGGCATTACATGTCCTTGCTAGCCTTCTCTACTTTATTACAAGACAGGGGAGACTACTAGCTAGGAAAGGTTCAGACTCTAGAACACAGGATGGGCCCCCTACACCCAGTACCTACTAGCCCTTTCCTGGCATAGCTGACCTGGCCCATTTCCTGTGAGGAGGTCCTGCTGATGGTGCTGTACTCGCTGACCATAGAGCGTGCATGGCATGTTAGACGCACACTCATGCTGTGCACACGTGCCCAGCGGTCCTGGGCTAGCTTCTGCCCGATCCTTCGAAGCTCTGTGCTGATGACCCATCCCCGCTTCAGGAGCAGCTGTAGTGGATCTCCTGGGCTGGGACCACCTGCTAGGATAAGGTCACCTTGTGTGTCTTCCTCCAAGCTGATGGGTTTTGCCTGCAAGACGCACATGCACTCACACTCGGTCATGAGCTTCAGATCCTCCATCCAACGCTGGACCGAGTCCACCTGCATGAGGTGTAGCCTACAACCAGAGAACAGTGGGCAGGGTGACTGCCAATACTCCACCTTTCCCAGTGAGTTCCCATCCCAGGCCACCAATGTTTGCTGAGCATCTAGTGTAAGCTCAATTCTGTTTCTCCAGTTCTCACCACCATTTCTCATTATTACCACCAAACAGACAAAAGGATGTATCAACAGTGGCATGAAGTGAGGTGGCTTACCTACATGAGCATAATGTGTGCACATTCTTAAAATAATGCCTTCCAGAAAGTTTAGCAATGAAAACAGTCTCCTAAAGAAGCAGAGACAGCATATATACACAGAGTACAAACAGATAACAAAACAATGACAAAGATGTGATAATCTTAAAAAAAATTTTTTTTTTCAAAGGAAATGTAAAAATGGGAGGGTGGCACTGAAGCCTTCCCCTTCTGTCTTCCAACTTTCCTCTAACTTCCAGTTTTGCTCTAATACAAATATAAACTTGTAATGAACCAGATTAAGTGCATTTACTCAGTCAGTAATTTCAGAGATTAATGAAACACTGAACACGAGTTCATTATATTTACTATGTCAGGTACTGTGTGAAAGCCAACACAAGGAATGTTGGGGCAGCTTAAAGGAAGAAGAGGAGTGAGGAGGAAGAAGACAGCAGTAGAATTCACCATCGACCCCCACTGTGTCAGGACAGTTGATTACAAACTCAGCAGGTCATGGATGGACTATGCATAAGCTGGGCACTGGAATTCACCACTCACTGCTTCTAGTGTGGAGGCAAATGGGTCTGGCCATCTCATATCCCTGTGGCCATGCCTCCACAATGAACTGATTCCTCCCAAATCATAAACCAAAATAAACTCTTTCATATGTTACTTTTCTCGGGTATTTGGTCACACCAATTAGTTAGATGTAACTAATACATCTCCCAGGCAGAATGAAAAAGTGTTGGCACTAAGTTGTATTAATACAATCCCCTTCCTATTCTGCCAAGCGAAGCCAAGAATCATAGCAACTGGAGCTGTTGCCCACACATCATGCTAATGGTTGAACTTTGCCTGTGCAGGAGAAACTCCAGAACCACTGGAGCCCAAGGGTTGTGTGTATTGCCTGTTAGCTACAGAACCCTGTCTGAAACACGCAAGAACACAAATATCTAAGGAGATTTTAATCTGCACTCTCCCATAGAATAAAGGTGTTCTGGAAATTGAAAGACGCTGTCCCTTCAGGCAGAGATTAAGGCAAGGTGTTCTCAGAGGGGTGGGCTGTAGGGCAGGGTGCTATCCGGACACATCAAGGCAGAGGAAGTAAGTATATTGAGGTATGAGAGTCAAAGGGACAATGAGTCAGTCTCTTGGGTTAGATTTGTGCAATTGGAAAAAAGAGGGACAGAGAGGAGATGGAAGGCCAGAAGCTTGACCTTGAGAGTAGGGTCCAAACATTCAGGTTGAAAGCCGTGATACACTGTTGAAGGGTGACAGGGCAACACGGCAGGGTCAGAGACTGGAGGAGACAAAAGTTAGATAAATCACAGAGTTCAGAACCAAGTGCCAGGGCCAGCCAGCTCTCAGCTTAACTCCTTGTGAATGAACATGAGCACTGGATCTTCTGAGGGGACACACTCTTACCCCTGGCTGGCAGGGGTGTTTTAGTCAGCTTTCTGTGACTGTGACAAAGCATTCAGGGAGACTCATGAGGAAGCAAGAACTTGTTTTGCTCAAGTTCCAGAGCTTTCAGTCCATGTTACTCTGTCCCGTTGTTTTGGGGACTGTGGGGAGGAACAAATGCCTTTTTCAAGGCCCATTCCCCAACAATCTTACTTCCTTTCACTAGGCCCCTTCCTCCTATTCTTCTCAATCGTGTCTCCAGTGGGGAACAAAGTGTTCAACAAAGGAACCTTTGGAAAACATCTAAGAACCAAACCATAGCAAGTATCAGACTTAGAGACACATTGAAAGAACATACTGTGTTCATAGAAACAAAGATATCCTCCTAGACAGTCTAGTAAGAAGCCTGAACAGGAAACAAGCCCAGTGGGGTGCTTCATTCTTGAGATAAAAGAATCAGAAGTTCATAGTTATCTTCAGCTACATTCAAGGCCAGATATAAGACTGTCTAAAAAGAAGTAAATAATAAAGACTAACAAAGCTAATTGAACAAAAGAATAAATGAGGAGATAGGTGGAGGGGCCCTTTGTACATCCAGAAGAAAGTACAAGTTACAGATAAAGAATAGAAATTTATGTTAACATTAGATACTTTTAGACCAACATCTTATTCAAAAGTAGTCACAATGAAATGTTCAAGGAAATGAACTAAGAGCCAAGGACTTTAATATTCAGCCAAAATTATTCAAATAGAAGATGAAAAGGAATCCTGACCTCCAGGAGAAAAAAGTGTTCTTGGAGAACAATCCTTCAAGAATGGTTAAGAGACACCCCCCCCCCTCCGCACCGTGCCAAAAAAAAAAAAAAAAAAAAAAAAAAAAGGTTCAGTGGTTAAGAGTGCTGGTTCATTTTGCAGAGGACCCAGGTTCCATTCCTAAGATCCACATGCCATCTCACAGCCATCTGTAACTCTAATTCCAGGGATCTGATGTCCTCTTCTGACTGGCCTCTATGGGCACTGTGCAAGCCTGTGTTACACATACATTCATGCATGCAAAATACTCACACATATAAAATAAATAAATTTTAAATGGTTAAGGAAGGGGTAGGAAGAAGTAGGGGTATACTTTTGTGGCAGAATGCCTGCATATGATGCCCAAAGCCCTGTGTTCAAGCCTCAGCATTGACGCAAAGACTATTAAGCAGATAAAACCATGAAGACTTTAACACAGGTTCATTGGTGTAATGAATACGAGAACAGTCAAAGACTGCAATAGCAGATGGGTGCAGAAAGGAACTTGAAAGTGGATGATGAGCTCTGATTGAGACAGGAAGGCAGACAGAAATCTAACAAACTTTCCATTTCTGCTTCTCAAGATGTTCAGTTTCTTGGCCCTCCACGGATCTTCATTCCACATAGGCAAATGCGTGTTCCACATGTCCTCACAGAGCCTATCTGAGCATTCCTTTTTCTATTTAACCATCATTCGCATAGTACCTGTGTTGTACCAGGAAGAAGGATAAAACAGCAAGCAAAACAACCAATATCTATCCCTTTATGGAGTGCACATGACAAGCAGAAAAGCAAATGATAAAAACAGAATAAACGAGAACTGTGTGATGTTTAACAACTGATCATTTCTACTGAAAGGGTGAAGCAGAATCAGGGAGATCAAGAATGCTCCTGTGACTACAGAGGGGTCATGGACACCATGGGAAGGCCCACAAAGTCAACTAACCTGGGCTCATAGAGGCTTGCAAAGAATGAACCAACAATCAGGGAGCCTGCATGAGACAGAACGAGGCACTCTGCATATATGCTACAGTTGTATAATTTGGCCCTCTCATGGGACTCCTAACAGTGGGAGCAGGGGCTGTCTCTGACTCTTTTACTGGCTTTTAGGACCCTACTTCTCATACTGGATTGCTTTGCCCAGCCTTAATACATGGGGAGGTGCTTAGTCTTACTGCAACCTGATGTGCCGTGTTTTGTTGATACTCATAGGAGACTTGCACTTTCCTGTATGGTGACAGAAGAGGAGAAGATTGGGGGTGGGAGGAGTTAATGGGAGAAAGGGACGATTAGAGGAGAATGGGGGGGGGTGGCTGTGGATGGGATATCAAACAAATAGACTAAATAATAATAATAATAAAAAGACTGCTCATTGTATGACACAAGGAAGGCATTGCCATTTTAAATGAGTGGCCATGGCTTCATGAGCAAACTCCCAAGAACATGATAAAATATGAAAACTGAGTGTTCACAACAGAGGAAAGGGTCCAAGAAAAGGCCTTAGAAGGGACCTACAGGGAATATAGGGTAGCTATAGTATATGATAGAAAGATGAGTAGAGGGTGAGCTCAGAAAAGAAACTGCCCATCATGTCAGTGGGTTCCGAAGCAATATAAACACTTTGGGTTTTGCTCTGTGTAGTAGAATGCTTCTTGGATTCCCCAAAGAAATATCATCACAAATATCCTCTGGGACCACTCAATACATGTGCCTCTCTATAGGAAAAGCTATCTTTCCTTCCCTCCCCCCCCCCTCTTCCTACCTCCCTCCCTCTCCCTCTGTCCCTTCCTCCCCTCTCATCAAAACAAGGATAGATTAATTTAGAATGACCTAACCTCTGTGGTACAAAACTATACACTGTTTACCAGGCAGTCAATTTAAACATAATAATTTATGCAATGAGTTATAAATAATTGACAGTGTGGTTGGAGTTTAACTTCCAACCCTTCTGCTCCAGACACCGGTGGGGTTAGGAAACGCCTCCACTTCATGTTGCTTAAGTTTTCCACTGTGTTCGTCACTCAGCCTCTGTTCTTCCTAAGAGTCCCACGCTGAGTGGCACCAGCATGATTCTCTCCAGACACTGGGGCAGACAAGTCTCTAATTCTGCATTTCCATCCATAACTAGTTACCAGGTTAGCAGAGTGCCTTCATCACTCTGCAGTGCTCACACAGCTGATTCCCCACTCACCATGAGTGGATCTGTGCAGTGCTAGAAACAGTATGAGCTCTTCCTTACCTCAGAAGACTGAACAAACTCTCTCCGTCTCCCCCATTAGGTGGGTGGCAAATGGCCGCCTGTCCCCTCAGCTCCTCCATGTTCTCTGCTATCTCCATGAACTGACCCTCCGCACGCTAAAGTTTACCCTCAAATTAACCAGAAACACCTGTTTATTATTCATCCTTCCAACTTACCCTTCTATGCCCCATTCTGTTTTATTTTCATTAAGATGCTTGATACACTATGGTAAAAGAGTGGACCCTACATCCTGGATAAGCCCAGGAGTCCTAACAAAGGGAAGTGGTACCCTGGGTATAAAGAACAGAGCAATGTGTGCACAGTCCTTCTGTAGTCTGCAGTACTCTCTCAAGAAATTGACAACTTTGACGGTACCTTACTTTTTTCCCATTGTTTGTAAAACCTAACATAGTTTCCAACAAAACATTTTCTAAGTCAACCTATTTATTGCATCCTATGATAATTAATAACAGACATCAATCAACTTGACAGGATGTCAAATCACCCAGAAGAAACAAACCTCTGGG